TCCCTAACGTTCTGTGATTCTGTGATCATCTAGTACAACTGTTAACTAACTCTACCATGCCCTCTTCTCAACCATGTCCCTGAGCATCCTCAACTACTTCTGTTTCAGTCAGCTGAGAAGTGTGTCTCAGTCTGTCAGGATTTAGCCACGTATGTGCATAGCCAGGGGAACAAGATGGGAAGTGTGAGTTCAGAAAGAACTACATAACCATGGACAGTATAAATACCTCTTTCTGTGCTTGTTCATAAGTGTGTTTGGAGCAAAGTATGTACAAAGCAAGCCAAAATGCTCTTTGCCTGTTTCAGTCAAAAAGGTGTTACTAAGTCCCACTCAATGGGAATGCAAAATTTGTGTTTGTTGTTTTATTCCAGCTAACTGTAGATTTAGAGGGTTTCACAGTAAAATCCAAAATGATACGATGTTGTAGAAGAGATTTTTATGAAGTAGTGACACCATTTTCTGTTGTTGGTCTGCCCTATCACTTTTAATATGGTTTAAGGAGAAAATATTTTCCAGGTGAGAAGAATCCCTATAGCAATGCTACTTTTGTACATTTCTCCTGAACCAATTTCTGCTCTGTATTTCCTAAATGACACTGACGTAAGCTATGACAAAAATTAGCAGAATTCCCTTTAACAGTAGAGAAATTAAACCAGTAGGTGAACTAGGAGCCTGGTAGTAGCTTTCATGTCTTTTCCTGTTCCCCTTTAACTGTTTGGTGCTTCAAGACCCTAACTTAATTTAGAGGAAGAAGTATCTGCTTCTGTCTTGACATGAATACAAAACTAAGGAAATGCAGAGAAGTAGCCCATTATAAATAAAGTACAGTAATGTGTAAGAAATTCTAACTACTCCTATGGCTTTCATTTAAATGGATTCAGGTTACTATACTGCCTAATAGCATAACTGCCCATAGTGGTTTTCACGAGAATAGTAAGTTTTGGATAAATTGTTATGGTTGTCCATTGTAAAACATTCTGATTTTATTATGCTACGACCTAGTACAGTGACCTGGAAACTTATGTGTAGTGGCTCAAAGAACAGATTTATGGCTATTTTATGTACCTGCATTCTACAAAAAGCAGTAAGAAGTCATATAAGAACCCTTTATAAAACATTGGTAGTGCACATGAGCATGCAGAAATGTTGGGTGGTATGTAAGCACTTTTACAGTTTTAATGCTTGTGATTAAATTGTGCTAAATCTTCTGATAGCTAGATGAGATAATTGTTAGCCTAGAATGAACATGTGTAAAGCATAAGGAGAAGTTAGCTGACTTCGTTTTATAGCATAATGAACGTGGTGTAAATTCTTTCTGTTTCTCTTGCAGGGTCAGAGATATGTTGACTGATGTCATCAAAGGTGCTTCCAAGTAAGAATTGCTAATTTCTTACAGATGAGTTCTCTTTTGTGGCAGAGGCTGTAAGATAATATTTTCTGCAATTGGTTTTCTGCCAGTTTCATTATTGCATATGACTGCTGTTCAGGAAAGGCTAGTGCCTCCTGTTTTGCATAAAGCCTGGGCAGTGCAATATGCATTGTTAGTTCATTCTTTTTTTAACTAGCAGACTGTTTGCCTCAAGTAGCTTCATTTATCTAGAAGGTGACTGGTCTTTAGTGGAGTATGGGCTCTTCAAAACTGTCCCACTTTCTGTTAAAGTGTCTTTATTGTGCCCAGATGTGCCCAAAGGCAGGAAATTACATGTCTTCAGATTGTGACAGGCTTGTTCATTTGCTACTAGAATTAGCACATAGCTTTCAGGCAGCAATAAGTGTCTTAACCTTCCTTCATAGGCTGCTAAAGTGGTTTGACTTCTTCCTTTTACTCTCTGCTGGCAGATAGCTCCCTATTATGCTTTACCCTTAACCTGAAATTGGCCACTTGCACCAGGTTAAGCAAAAGTATCAGAAATAGTGAATCCTTATAAGAACAAGTGCTTAATCTTAAGTCATAAAGATGTCATCAGTGAAAGAATTACAGTGAAATCTCACAGGCCGTTTAAACGTTGGTATTCTTGTAAATGTATAAAAGACTAGTTTGAAATACATTTGCAAGTTAAGAGTTCTGGTGATTTTAATTAAGAGTTTCCATGAAGGTCTGAACTTTCTGCTTTTTTAACCTACTGTTGTTCAGATATGTAAAATATTCCCAACTGTTCCATTTCTTTGCGTGTCAGTCCATCTCGAAGGAGTCAGTTAAAGAAGAATGAACTTGGAAGATCTGTCTGATATTTTAGCTACTCAATAAATACCTGTGTTAAAATAAGGTAGTAGAAAGAGATAAAGTAAAGGAGGAACAAAATAATAATCTTTAAGTATATCATATTCTCTGTGTCAGATTTAAAGTTATGATTTTAGTTACAGAAGTTCATTAGCGAACATATGGGTAGGGACATTGTCTAATTTGGGAGGAAGGGGTGAATTTTGTTTAGGTAACAGCAGGAGGTTTTCCCATGCTTAGATCACATCTCTAGAACTTCTTGTGTTTACTGATTTTAAGAAAATACTGTGTTTTTCCCAATATTTTCAATAAAGAGTAAGACAGTGCTCTTTTTCTTCCTGGGGCTTGTTAGGATGATGATTTTTACCTTCACTAAATTAAAAGCATCCAGCTTTCATGAATGTGTAAATTTAAAAGTTTCTTTATGTTTGAGGTACATCATGAAATGTAACCTTTTACGGGTTAATGATCAACAACAAAAGTTCTATACATAGATTTGGAAATTATTTAAGGCAAAAGATACAAGGAGATTTCAAAAATTTAACTAAGCACCTAGTTGTAATTACTTGTAGGTATCTCTGTAAGGAAATAGTTTGTGTTCCAAACAGGAGAGGCCAGTGACATTCCACTAGGACCTGTGTATCTTATTTTTAAAAGCAAACCAGAAGTCCAGAAAATACTTTTTTTGTGAAAATGCAATCTTTGGATCTGAAACAAATGTCTGAATTTGAAGTGTAAGTGTATTTTTACAGCAACAGTTGTTGCAGAGAGCAACTAAGGTTCTGCAGATCCCCTCGGGTTAAATTAAGGTGAAATGACACCAAGCAGTCAATCAAACATTTTATGTAGAAACTACTTAAATCTGGAAAAGGTGAACAACTTGAGCTTGGAAAATGCAACACGGTGACAATGTGGATTCTTACTGGAAGCCTTTATAAGAAGAAGGTAAAGATAAAAGAGAGACAGGAAAGGAAAAAGATAAGAAAAGATACCACCCCCTTGGGTCCTGCCATGATCCCGCCATGGCAGGGACAGATGTGGTGATGCTCTGGTCGTGGACACGCACAAGGCTCCCTGAGTCACGGCCTTTTATGCAGTCCAGGCTCTCGAGAACTTACGTAACTCTCAGTCTGCTGTGCAGGCACCATTGTGAGTGGTGATGGTCATGAGCCCCATCCCCAAATTAACTTTGTATGACCTCTGGCCATATACGGTGAGTTGTCCTGCCTGACAACACAGAACTGCCCATCCTTGGGCACACAAACGCATCCTCAACAGGCAGACGCCTTCTGCTTCCCCACACTTTAAACTTTACTGCTTTTCTTATCATCGCTAAGAGGAACATGCAGAAGCTGTCTTTTGTTATGCAGAACCTGTCATGCCACAATGTTTGAGACATACGTTTACTCTTTCAGTCTCTCACAACAGTTGAGGAAGTTTTTCGAAATGGAAGACTGGTGCAAAAAATGTAGTACACTGTGTACTGGTCTACTGGAAGACTAGAAGTGGTCTAGTACACTTGTATTGTTCGGCTGCTATTGTAAAACAACTAAGAGAGTTACAGCAGAATTATATAGCAGTTTGTTTTTCTGGGAATGACTGCAATGTCAACATCTATCTTTTCATAAACTGAACAAAGCTATAGTCTCTCTCTTATTTGTAGATGGCAGATTTTTTTTTCTTGAGTTCCTTAAAAGGAAAGGTGTGTACTGTGGTAGAAGTTAGTACTCTTTGAAACCTGTCATCTTCCATGATGTTAATGTTTTCATAGCATAGGGGAGTAATTCCATGCCTTTTTTCTTTAAGTTGAGACTTCAGTGATGGCTGCTCTGCTAAACCTCCTCAACAGGTGCTGTTGCAGTGAAGTGGCAAATACCTATCTAACATTCCATTTGAAGAGCATTTTTATGTTGTCATGTGTAGAGATGGTGCTATCCAAGTCCAGCTGGTGCATTTCTGTGTATGCTACTTGCTCTGCAGGGTAGCAGTCCTCATTATAGTGGAAGCAGGCTTCTGTTTTTATACAACTTTGTGTGTGGTAGACTTTTAAATAAAAGACAAACAAGAAAAAAGACTGAAACACTTCTGTCCCCTAGTCTTTCTCTAATTCCTGAAGATGAAATGTGATAAGACTTTTGCTGAGCTAAAAGACAACCCAGTAAAGTTACTAGGTGCATAGGCCCTCCCTCTTGGACTACCTGTAGCATAAATTTCTTGCATTGAAATACATGTTTTGTTGCCTGCATCTCTGTTACGCTTCTTAATGGTTTGACTTTTTCTATCCAGAGATAGCCCAGTGGTGAAAGGAAACTCTATTTTTGCCTTAACTGGTCTTGCAGTTGCTGTAGCCAAGTATGAAAGCAGCCTGTCCTCAGACACTGAAGGGATGCCTGAGGTGAGTCAAGCTGAAAGAGAGATTCTCTACTCTTAGTGGAACATTGTTACCAGGTGTCAGGGGGGCTGGTAAGTGGACGTGAAGTACTTCACATTTTGAAGTTCAAATTTCCCCCTGCTCTGTGAATGCCATCTGGTAGCTGCTGTGTGATCTCTATGAAACCAGTCAGTGTGTAGACACCTTCTCACAAGAAACATAATGACTAACACATTTATTTGTTAGTTTTAACAGAAGAGTTAGAGGTCTAGTGAACACTGAAACCCAGCCAGCTTCTTTTCTTACCATTTTTGCTTTCACTGAATAGTAGCTGATTAAAACTAGCATCTGGAGGGTCAGCATTGGCAAATAAACCATGCTACTTACTGTACATAAGAATGACAAAATAATCTCATTCCTGATGGATTGTAACTGGAACATCAGCCGCTTCTGTTCAGGTAGGACCTGATTTAAGAAAAAATAACAATATTTGTGTTTGATTTTTCAGACTGAACCTGACTTTCTTCCCACAAAACACTGGATTTCTATGGTCACAGAGACACTCTTCAGTATTGTGAATAGCCGCTATCAACCTAAAGGTCAAGTCTTCCCATGGTTCTACCAGGTATGTGGTGGTGTGTTAAAGACTAGAGAATATATCTGTATTTCATACCTGGAATTCCTAGTGTGAAGTTTCCTGGTTCTGTTTGCTCTGTGGTAGCTGTAATACACGAGAATCAAAACTTTTCTTGCTTTGTTCTTTTTCTTTCATTATTTTTTCTGCTTATACTTGTGTTTGCCTCAAATTTTTGCTTTCATTACCAAAACAGTAAAAATCGCATGTGGGGATACATGAGTGAAGGAAATTTTAAAAACAAACGAACCCTTCCAAACTTAGATTATTCAGCATGTATATACAAAACAAAACCTTCTAACATTAACAGACTCTCCTTAGACCATACTGTTGAAATCGAGTGATTCTGACACCATTCCTTAGGGCTCTGAAATGCATTCTTACTTGAAATCTAATAGTTATGGAGCCAGTGATTCTTATTTTACAGTACCTCTTGGACCCCTGGGAGGCAACACAAGTTGTATCATATGTGCTTTTAATATGATAACCAGCCTGAAATTAAGTATCAGGCAGTTCTTAAGTAGGACCTGGAAATTTACTGAAAACTTAGTGTAGACCTTAATAAATAAGTATTGACTCTTGACTCTCTGTGGTCAAAACAACCAGGTTGGAGATTCTTCATGTCCTGGATGCAGAAGGTGTTCACAAGCGGTATTCCCCAGGGCTCGGCTTTGGGGCCAGTCTTGTTTAATATCATTATAAATGGTCTGGATGAGGGGATTGAGTCCTCCCTCAGTAAGTTGCAGATGACACCAAACTGTGTGGGAGTGTTCATCTTCTCGAGGGTAGGAAGGCTCTGCAGACAGACCTAGACAGACTGGATCGATGGTCTGAAGCTAATTGTATGAGGTTCAACAAGGCCAAGTGCTGGGTCCTGCACTTGGATCACAACAACCCCATGAAGCGCTACAGGCTTGGGGAAGAGTGGCTGGAAAGCTGCCTGGCCAAAAAAGACCTGGTGGTGCTGATCGACAGTGACTGAACATGAGCCAGCAGTGTGCCCAGGTGGCCAAGAAGGCCAATGGCATCCTAACTCCTATCAGGAATAGCATGGCCAACAGGAGTAGGGAAATGATTGTGCTCTTGTACTTGGCACTGGTAAGGCTGTATCTTGAGTACTGTGTTCAGTTTTGGGCCCCTCTACAAGAAGGACATTGAGGCGCTGGAGCGTGTCCAGAGAAGGGCAAGGAAGCTGATGAGGGATCTGGAGACCAGGTGTTAGGAGGAATGGCTGAGGGAGCTGGGATTGTTTAGTTTGGAGAATGAGGGGAGACTTTATTGCTCTATACAGCTTCATGAAAGGAGGTTGGAGTGAGATGGGTGTTGGTCTCTTCTTCATTGTAACTAGCAATAGGACCAGAGGAAATGGCCTCAAGGTGTGCCAGGGGGAGGGTTAGATGGATATCAGGAAAAACTTATTTACTGTGAAAGAGTGGTCAAGCACTGGAACAGGCTGCCCAGGGAAGTGGTGGAATCACCATCCCTGGAGCTGTTCAAGAAGCATGTGGATGTGGCACTTCAGGACATGGTTTAGTGGGCATGGTGGTGTTGGGTTGACAGTTGGACTTGATGATCTTAGAAGTCTCTTCCAACCTTAATAATTCTGTGATTTTGTGATAAGGGAAATTGGGTCATACAAAGCCAAATACAAGCATGCAAATGTATTGTAATGTTTCCTAACTGGAACTTCATTTACTGCATTCATGAGCTATGTTTAGTCCAGTAATGAGATGTTAGCATCAGAAAGGTGAAAATTACTGATAGACCTGAGTCCACTCTAGCATGTGACCACTGTCATCACTGATCACAAAATCAAGTGCAGTGTAAAATAAAAGCTAGACTGATTAGACCTAAGGAGATTCAGCTGCTTGATTGGCACTAGCAATTCTTGCCAAATTGTTCTGTGACTCCTGCCTTTGAAAATACTGCTGCTTAAAAAGGTGTTTTGAGATGGAACAATGTGACAATATTTCACTTCTAAAATCCATTCTATTTAAAAATAAAAAAATTAAAATCTCATGCTTGTAAAATTCTAGGGCACACAATAGAAATCACTCTCTTGCGGAGTGCCTTGCACTCTGATGGGATTTTTTTTTTCTTTTACATTTCAGAGTTCCATGTGGGAGCTGATAAATATACATTAGGTTATTACTTTCAAACAGCCCATTGTTTTATAAGTAGATGTATCTGTATGGATTTTACCTTTTAAAATGGAAAGGAATGAAAAAACAGTCTTTTTTCTGTTTTTCTAGAAGTCCTATTCAGGTGAAAATACCGCTAGTATTATAGCTCGTTCCTGTGCGGCCACTGCTTTGTCTCTCCTGGTGCCAGTTTTCATTGTATCATGCAAAGAGAAGGTTGAGGAGGTCCTGAACATGCTGACTGACAGGTTGCCTGGTAAACCCAATGCTGATGAGTCTCAAGCTGTTCAAATCCATGTGGGCCTTGGTTTGGGGATGTTTATCTCACGTTTGTATGAAGAAAAAGTCAGGTAAGGATTATCATATGTAATGCAGGTTTGCAAATAACTTCTTTCTTTTCCATGCTTTTGGCCTTAAGTTATGAGGAAATAAAAGTACAAGTCAGAGGCAAATGTTTCTTGAAGGGCTTCACAGCATTTCTTAGAAGATGTCTTTTATTATCAATCTTCACCACCACTACCACCCCCCACACTCCCAAGTGCTATTCTGAATATTTTGCCATTCTTTCAGGATGAATGATTAATTTTCATAATATCCTAAGGAACCTGTGAAAAGCAGTCAGCTTAGAAGAGCCACACATATGCTTATAAAGGGAACTAACTGCTCTAGGTGACTTAACTGTAAAATAATTCACAGTTCTCATGAGCTGTTTTCTTAGTGGTGCTGTGGACTCTGGATAGTGTCCACTTACATCCTGCAAGTTACACATATGAGGATGAAGCTACAACAGAAGCCATGTAATGGGCTGTCTTTGAGGTGTGCTGTTACAGCTATGTTGTCAGCAAAGAGATTTTCTGACGTTAGTAGAAAATGCCTCCTTTACAGAAGGGCTGTCTTCAGTTGCAAGTTTCCGATGATTCCGGGGAAATTAAGAAGTAGATTTGGCTTTATATTTCTCCAGCTTCTTGACTACTAGAGATTTTCTCTGCCGGTATACCCACAATAAATGTTTAATTGGTGCCCAAGCACAGGTATCAAACAGATTTGGCTGTTAGTTGTTAATTTGCTCAGTGAAGCTAATGTTTCTGACACATCTACCTTTTCTGAAACACTCTGCAGCGCTGCTCTGTGCTAATCTTCATGCTTTTGTGTCTTGATGTCTTGCTGCCTCTGACTCAGCCACATAATTTGGAGATGGACTATCTCTGGATGATTAGTCAGTGGTGACAACTGAGCTACACACAAGCAGTAAAAGGCTCTTAAATTTAGCTAGATCAGCTTGGTATTTTGGTGAATGTGAATCTTTATTTTGGATTTTTGGGTTTTGTTTGTTTGGCAAGGAGAGTTGAAATTAATAAACTTATCTAAAAGTTTCTTACGAAATATAGCAGTTTTTACTCTTCCACCACCCTGCATAAGTTCAAAGCTTAATCTCACACATTTTTCCAAGCATTGGCTTGCAACAGCAGCAGTACTAGTAGGGATGTAGCTATAACTAATATCAAATCATAGAATTAGTTTATATTAAGGTGTCCTGATCATTAAGAAAACTATGTACATGTTTTGTAAGAAGGGAGTCTCTATGACATATTTTGGGGTGAGATGTAAATGCTTCCTTTTTCATTAATAAGTTAGGCAAAGAGATGAAAAGAGAAATTTACAGAGCTAATATCTTAAAATGTCATTAATTTTCAGCTTATAAATAGTTACAGGTCTAGCTGAGATCATGTTTTATCTTTCTCATACTGTCAGGCATGTTTTACAAATCCTAGGTGCTAGGTTTCTATCTGGGTGTTGTAGCAATAATGGTTGCTATTTAAGGTTTGAATGTGTTTTTTATTATTGTATATGAGTGTGTCTATATGAATGTGACACAAATGACCAGTCATAGTTATTGCTTGCAAACTAATATGAGAACCTGTTAGAGCAAGAAAAGAACTCTTTTTACTGGTATGTTCAGTCTTAGCAGGAGATTTAATATCCTATATGATATAAAGAGCAGAGCTGTGTTTTGGGGTATTTTGTTTCTGTTTTATTTTAATTATTTTATTTTATTTTTTATTATGTTTTATTTTTGTAGTGAGGTACCCGCTCAACAGATGAACTTAGTCTTAATGAAGTCCCAGGATGTGCTGGAAGACTGCTGCTTTGACATTAGTCTAGAGTACAAGTGAGTTTCCTTCATTACTGTTGATAATATTGTTTTATTTGAGCTCCACCTTTTTGATTCATGCTTTTATTTCTTAATTCTACTCAGAAGAGTATAAGAATAGGACAACGGGACAGCCTGTTCTAAGTAATCCCATGGAGTCTCTAGCTTGTGCAGACTGGCAAGGACCTTCAGAGGTCCACATTCCTCCTCAAAACAAACTGAGGCATAGATTTGGGCTACATTGCCCAAGGCTTTACACTCCGGGTTTGAAACCCCCAAGACTGAAGACAGCACATCCCTGGGCCCTAGCTCCACTTTTCTCTATGTGATCATCTGATGTTTCAGTTTGTACCTGCTGTCTTTTGGTCTGCCACCAGGCAGAAGCCCAGCTCTCATCAGTCCTTTCCTGTCAGTGCTGGAGATGCTGTTGGGTGTTCCCAAAGCCACCCTTCTTACAGATGAACCATCAGTGGTTCCACAGCTTCTGTTCTTAGGGCAAGGGCTCCAGCCTCGCTTCCTCAGTAGCCTCCCATGAATTTGTTCCAGTTTTATTGGTGTTTTTCCTGCATTCCACTGCTAATCCCTGCCAACCCACACATAGAGAACCACACAGTCTTGTTCACAGGCAGTGGGAAGGTAACCAGCAGTTCTAGGAGCAGGGTTGCTCATGTTGCACATGTTCATTAATGAAAGATGTGTTTGAAAGTCCTTCCTTGGTGCTGTTGGGTGGTTGCTAAGGTGTTCAATGCAGTGGAGCCTGATTGGAATGTGCATGTGTGTGTAATACATTGTGAGCTCCTGGAGCAGCTGCCTCACATGGCTTATTTATCTGAGAGAGCCAGGCTGTTAATTTGACAGCTATAAATGGCATGTTGAATACTGATTAAAGCAAATGTATTTCATTTAACATACTGAGGTTATGCCTCAGGTGTCCCAAAGAGAGGAGCAGCCCACCAGCAGAGCAAAAAAATTATCAAAAGGTTACTAGTTACTAGTATTGGCAAAGCTGGAATAACTGAACAATAAAACACATATGTCAGTTGCCATTAAACAACTAACATAACTAGCATAACACGTTAGTATGTGTCTTCCACAGCAGTCATTTTCCTTTCAAACCAAGGGAGGAATTGCAGCATCTTCAGTGCCTCAGTGTGGGTGCATACGGTTTTATTTTGTTTTGAACATTGTTTTGCCGACCTCTTCCATGTGCAAAGGAAACAGATCACTAATTCCTATTTGCTTCTGCATTCACCTTCTCCACTGGACCTTCTGAAAAGCTGTGAGGGGTCACAATTTCACACCATTGAACTGTGAAACTGTATAACATCCTCAGGATTTGGGTTGCCTCTTGAGTGGCCCAGGGTGAGGCACGTGGTGCACAGGGGGCTGTACCAGCTGCGTCACGTTGTCTCAGCTGTTATTGCTTGTTTGCACAGCCTGTTAACTGTAGATAAATGCCTCATGGAAAAACCAAACTAAACTTCTCTGGCAGCAAGAGGTTGCCAGAAGAATACGAAACCATGGCAAGCAGGAGAGGAAAGATTGAAGGGTGGGTAGTTTTTTTATGTTGGGCGTGACAGCTACATTTTTTAAAGGTTAATGTTAAGTTGGTGTCTAGTGTGAGCATTGTTTGTGAGGAAAGAAGTGATTCAAAGCTGTGAATGTTGCAGACTTGTCCAGGTTTGGTGTTTGTCCACTTTTAAACTGCTATTCCAAAGAAAAGGCCTTTCCAGCCTTTGCATCCAGTATGATAGGCACAGGCAGCTGTGGAATGGGATTGTAACACTGCCATTTTCATCAGCAGTTCACCCATGCTGAACTGGCAATCCCCTTTTTCCATCAAAATAGGTTGGAAGTTTTTTTAGGTATATTTGCAGTACAGACATGGGAGAATGGAGGTCCCTTTTTTCTGAATGCCAGCACTAATCGTACCCTCTCCTGTGGCTGCTCTGAGGTTACGTGCGGGTGGGAAGACTCTGGTACTGGACCAGGGAGGGCTCATGCTACCCCTAGTGGAATGCAGGGACTGTCCCCGCCAGCATCCTGCCGCCCCCAGCTCCGCACCCTGCTGCCCCCCAGACCCTGCTGTGCAGCAGCAACCTTGTGAGATGTGGCGTGCCTCCTGCTTGTTTTAGAAAATGTGCCTCTCTGCTCAGTGACATGCTTCTCCAGAGTGTTAAGTGAGACATCTCACAGGCTGCAGGACGTTACTGGAAAAGAGAGGGTTTTGCTGAATTTTTTGTTTTGGTTTGTTTTTCTGCCTTGTGCATCTAGATCAGAAAGTGGTTTATCAGTGTGCGTGCTATGCAAACTGGAACTAGCACAACTGCGCCTAACTGATCATGTCAGCCTTGATAGCAATGTTGGTTTTGTATATAATTTTCTTCACTTACGTAGGAGAATTCTCTTTTTTCAAATTGAGGGGGGAATGAGGGGAGAGTTAAGAGGAATGAAAAAACCAGTTGTTTTCAATAAGCCATACAAATCTTCCCCTGACCTAGTGCTTTTGCTTGGCAAGAATCCTTTTATGTTCCAAAAGAGTTTCTATGTCTGTGTAAATTGCATAAAAGACTCTAAACTTAAAATTTCCTCTCAGAAGAGATCACTGTGAGAATAATGCTTGTAAATCAGTACTTTTACCTATTGTAACCACACAGAATTAAAAAAAACCCAAACAACTAAAAGTCAAAGTCATTATCTTTTAAAGGGGGAAAAACATTTCAGATGGTTAAGGATGTTAATATGATGCTTCTTCAGATTTTAGCTGAAACAGAGTTTCATAGATTGCAGAGCTTTACAAGCTTTGCAGTTACTCATTTTAAATGGAATGCCCTCAAGACATTATCAAGAGATCTGTCAGTGGACCTTAAACCTGCCCTTACATTAGACAGAAACTGAAATAAGTATGTTTTAAAAATACATTGATTCACCATTTTTCAGTATACAAATGTATGGAATATGTGCATGACAAGTGATTTAATCAGTTCTTTATGCTACTAGGTTTTGTCAGACTTACTGATTACAGAAGCTATACAAGAGCTCATTTTCTCTCTGAAGCCTGACTTAAATAGAGCATAGGCACAGCAAGCATGCACATTTATGGTTGTTAACTTTTGCAGTTATTCATGTAGATTATATTCAATAGATTTTTGTCAGATCAACCTCAATGTACTGGGAAAAAAAGAATAAAATGTAATCAAAGGCTGGGTTCCAGTTGTAACAGTGCAACATACAGCTAACAAATATAGCAGTGCCTATGGTCCCCTGGTCTCTGTACTGGGATGTTTTGCTTCACCCCTCCCACCTTCTTGCAAACAAAGAAAAGCATATGTTGAAGATTGGGTTAAATCTGACCTTTTGAAAGGTTTGCGTGGGAAAATATTTTGAGAGGATCAAGGGGCAGTAGAGTTTTTTGGCCTGCCTTGGTACATTCCCTATATTGAATATGAATTCTACAAGACCATTGCAGATACGGCTTTTTGTATAAAGTTATTGCATGGCAGAACTAGCTTGCATCCGTAAGAGTAAATATTGGAGAAATATTGAGCATACTAGTTCATGTGTCTGTTGATTGTGTTATTGGTTCTTCAAGGGCAGAAAGAATAATGAGACTGTATGTTTAGGATTTATTATTTTAAATGCACTTTTTTTCCTTAAGCTCTCCTTTTATTCTGCCTCTCTCAAAAAGCATCACCTATATGTGAAATGAAAAACACTTATAAAATTGACTGTGGTAAGTGATTTTCCACAGTACTAGGTATGAGGCAAGGCCAAGAGGTCTTTTTGTTGGGGCAGAGGGAGAGTTCAGAGCAGCCAAAGCATACTTAAACCTTTTCCTTCTGTTTTCTCTTTAAGCACTGGATGTATTTTGGGAGTAGGACTTGTTCTTTCATTTATGAGTCACAGTAGCCAAACAGAATCACGAGTGCATGTTTCCACTTCACTGCGAAAACTCTGCAAGTACCTGGACAGTAGTGAGGACCAAAGCAGATGTGTCCAGGAGGTATGACCTATTTTATTAAAATTTTAAATCTTCTTTTAACTTGTTTCCTTCCTTTAATGACTATGGACTTTCTCCTGGAGCTTTGTATCTGTAGTACTGGAATGCTTGGTTCCTGTTACTTCTTTCACAATATATGGTTTTATATCTGCTGAAATAACAACAACAACAATAATATCATAAGAAGAATAAGAATACCACCTTACTGCTGTGCAATGCTGCACAAACATTAAGAAACTGTCTGAAAAGAGAACAGACACTATTCTTTAAAGTGCTTCTTTAATTCCTTAACCTCAAATTAAATTTTTGAAAGTTGGGTCCTGAGTAACTATGGATGAGTCTCTCTCATATACAGTTGTTTATTCCTCATCTGATCTACTAGAAGGCAGACAGCAAGTTACTCTCAGAGAGGACCTTAATGCTAATACTTCCTCCTTCAATATGTCTTCTGTTTCCTTCTTTGAAAGCTGCTGTCACTAGCAGTGACACCTCACACTTGTGAGTGCCGCTATGGCCCCATTTACTATTCTCTCTGTAACTGTATATTGAAGACTGTAACTGTATACTTAAACTGAGCTCTGCTAAGTTTGAGCATGCATTTCAGTTTATTTTGTGAAGATATGTCCTGTAAGTTTTCATGTCGTCCATGCACTAAGTCTATAACCTTGTTGAGCTAAAAGTTGAGAAGGAAAAGTGATGAAATGGGCAGAATGCACAACAGAAAACAGGATTCTGAATAAACAGGTGGTTTGCACAAAAGAACAACCTTGTATCTGATGTGTGTAGCTTTCAGCAGCCGATCAGCTGAGTTGCATAATCCTCTGTTTTTTCTAACGGAGGTAGCAGAAATCGGTGATATTGTCTTTCCTCTCTTGGTATTGCTGTGAAAGCTCTTTATTAAAGGTCTTCTTTTATGCAGTTCATTTTTTTGGCAGTACGTATGTCTTGGGGATTAGCCTTTTGTGTTTTATGGTTCATGCATTAAAATGACTTTCAGCTATGAAATCATTTATCTCTCCCCAGATATCTCAAAGTGCTTTACTGAACTTAAACTGGGTTTAGTACAGCAGCTTCTGAGATGAAAGGCAGCATCTATTTCACATGATGAGATGGTTTTGTTTGAGAAGCAAAACCTACCCTTTTCAATTAAAATCTCTGTAAGGAATTATTGTACAGCTAATTACATGAGTAAAACTTGGTTGCCACCCTAGGATGAATACTACTGTATTTGAGATGCACACGAGGCTCTTTCAGAGCTATAAATACTGGGATATAATCTTGTACTAGAGAGGTAACTTAGGCCTGCTGCATCAAGAGCCAACCTCATGAAGTTCAACAAGGCCAAGTGCAACATCCTACACCTGGATAGGGGCAATCCCAAGTACAAATACAGGCTGGGAAGAGAATGGCTGGAGAACAGCCCTGAGGAGAAGAACTTGGGGATGTCGGATGATGAAATGCTCAACATGAGCTGGCAATGTGCATCTGCAGTCCAGAAGGCCAACCGCATCCTGGGCTACATCAAAAGAAGTGTGATCAGCAGGGCAAGGGAGGTGATTGTGCCCCTCTGCTCTGGTGAGAGCTCACATGGAGTACTCTGTCCAGCTTTGGAGCCCTCAGTACAAGAAGGACACTGAACTGCTTGAGCAGGTCCAGAGGAGGGCCACAAAAATGATCCAAGGGCTGGAGCACATCTCCTGTGAGGACAAGCTGAGAGACTTGGGGTTGTTCAGCCTGGAGAAAGAGAAGGCTGCAGGGAGACTTTATAGTGGCCTTCCAGTACCTGAAGGGGTCCTACAAGAAAGCTGGGGAAGGGCTGTTTACAAGGCCAGATAGTGATAGGACAAGGGGCAGTGGTTTTAAACTAGAGCAGAGCAGATTTACATTAGCCATTAGGAAGAAGATCTTCACCATGAGGGTGATGAGGCATTGGACCAGGTTGCCCAGTGAGGTAGTGCAGGCCCCATCCCTGCAGACATTCAAGGCCAGGTTAGATGGGGCTTTGAGCAACCTGCTCTAGTGGGAGGTGTCCCTGCCCATGGCAAGAGGGTTGGAACCAGATGATCTTTAAGGTCCATTCCAACTCAAACCATTCCATGATTCTATCATTCTCATCTGGCCTTGTGGACCTGCTTGTAGCCCTGATGGGATCACAACATGCTGTGTATGCTCATGTAAATAACAATCAGATACTTGTGTGGGGAAGTTTAACTAGATTTGTGTGGAAGTTCAAGAGTTTGACCTGCATAAAACCAGAAGTACTTCCAAGCTTTAGTTGTATTTGTTTAATGTTGGCATCAATTAAGAATCTTTCAGAGAGGGAACAAACATCTGAAAGCGTAGACTGAAAATGACATGGTGTTTTTATCATGCTCTGTGTGCACATTGCTACTGTTAATTTGATCAGACACTGGTTGACAGAATTAAATAATCTTTCTCATCAGGTACTTGCCTATTCTGTGGCCTGTTCCTCTGTCTCTGCTTTCAGCGTTGGAATCATAGAAGCAGCTGAGGCTGAGGAAGCCATGAACAAGCTACGGACTTTAGTGGAAAATAATCAGCAGGTCATATAATTTAGTGTTTGAGCTTTGCTTCAGTAGTTCTGTCTTTCCCATATCTATTTAATATTGGATACTGTTTTACCCAGACTGTGACTTCAAGAAAAGGCTATTGATCTACTTTCAGCATTAACTGACATAGAGCATGTTGTATATACTGTGCAATTACCTATTGATCTATTGATGCATTGTCTACGGGTGTATAGCAACACCTAGGGTGTATATCAGACAGTGAAATATAAACAGATTTTATGTTTCATTGCATCTAGAACATAAGTTTGTACTTTCAGGTTCTTCATGTCTTTAGTCCCTATGTCCTGCCAATTTTTGTCTCTTTTGTAACATATTTCTTTAGGTTCTTTTTCTTGTTAGCGAAGCACATCTACTGTGTTCTTATGAATTTTTGCGCTCCCTTAGCCTCTAGACAGTGCATCATAACCACATCCACAGCTTCCTTTGCGTGTCTGTTTCATCCCTAGTGTTTTCTAAAAATGCAAAAAATAATCTTCACATTTCAGTGCATGTTCCTTTTTGTTACGTGTTTGCCAGAAAAAAAAGCGAGGGGAAAAAAAATAAAAAGGCAACCCGTTTGAATCCAAGCTTGCTATTACACTAATCAATTGTTTGTCTGGAAAATACAAAGTCAGTACAAACTACCTTTGCTGCAACTTTTCATCTTCATATCAGAAAGTCTCCTCTAAAATAAAGGCTCCAGAGCAATCTGTGTGCCAGAGATCAGTACTTAACCTCAGAAAATCCTATGTTACTTGACACAGGAAAATACTTGAAAACATCCAGTATTTTAGACAAAGATACTACTTCTAATTATGTGGAATAACATATTTAAGTAATGTTTCAGTAATAAATACTTAAAAAATCCAGAATCCTTTGGAACATCTGTTTTTTAATGTGTCTTTTTCACCTTACAGATCCACAGTTTTGCTTTAGCTCTAGGTACAATAGTACATGGATTGTCAGCTTGTGGTCATGGGAAAGCCGAAGACCTGAGTAACAAACTATTGCCAGCCTGGATAAAAACTGTGCTTGCAGAGGTAAAGGAGTTTGAATTCATAACCTGTTTTTTACAGAGGCTGGGGGAATGATTTTAAGTGAACAGTAGGGTCATAAATTTCCTTGCTTCTTTAGGGGTCATGCTAGGAGAACTTAGAACTATCGGAATGTGGTGTTTGATATTTGGAAGCAAAAATATATCTTTGGGCTGTTTTGCTAAAGAAAAAAGAACCTGTGTCAATGATTCATGGGAAATGCTTATCTCAGTGAGATCTTAACTTGGAGATCTTTACTAATTTTGAATAGACAAGGCCAAAATCTAAGTTATTAAAATGAAGATGCCTTGTGAAATGCGATGCTACTTATCAAAATTAGACTGACAGAATGGTGATTGTATTGCCTCAGTTGTTATAATAATTTTAATTTATCTCACTGTAACAAAAATTGAATGCTTGAAATCAAACTGTAAACTTACACATGAAGGTCTAATCCTGAATTACACTTCCAGGGTTCTTCAACAATGCAGCGTCTGGCTGCTGTCAGTGGGCTGGTTGCACTGGTGGGCTCTGAAGGAGGTGTGATACAGGTGAGAACATGCAAGCAAATGGTATGCTTATCTCTTCTAGAAATTTGGCTAGAAGGCAAGATGGAATTACATTCTCTGCATCCTTACAGCATTGGTTATATACCACAGTGTCCCATTTATGCAATAGTGAGTCATGTTGGGTACAAACCAAGTACAGTAGAATGACAATGTGGAAGAAAAGGATTTGTTCCACTATCCCTTCATGTGCCCGTGTGCAGTGCCACTGGCGAAAGGTCTGCAGCCATGTAGGCTTTCTCCTTCACTCCCTGACAAAAAGGCATGTGTGCAAATGTTCTCTGTTTTGTTGTTACTTTTTTTCCCTTATAAAATTCAATTTTTTTTTCTTTGGCAGCTGAAATCTGAGAGCATTCAGTCCTCCCAGTTTCAAAGTAAGCTGAATGAAGTCATCAGAACCCTTACACAGGTAAGAAGGTAGCCTCTGTTGACTGCTTTGGATAATGCACTAGGGTATTGTGACGCCTTGCACAAACAGGACAAGTCTAATCAAAGAAACTGCATAATGACTGTGTCCAACTTGAATGAGACAACATAGGGAAATTTTGCTAACTCATGGTTTATTGTCTCAACAGATAATCAGTTTTTCGGGGCAGATTGGTCTTCAGACAAATGCAGCAGGACTTTTGGGACGCCTTCATATGTCCTGTTTGTCTTCTACCCAGAACAGGGCATCTGGTAAGATGCTTTATTATTGCTGCTTAAAGAACTTACAGAAGTAGTACCTAGCTAAAAAGCAGCAAGGGACACATTAGACAACACAGGCTAGACATTGCAGCTCTATTAAATGTTACGACAGCCTTTGAATTGGAGACCTCATGGTCTTGTGTGCCATATCTAAAGGTTGAAACATGAAGCAGGAATTGGTGTGCTGAATATAGTATCTTCCCTGTCTGTTCTTATTTGAGGTATCCAAGTAAGGTTCTAAGTTCTGGTCGAACTTGTATGTTGCTTCTGTCTTTATTCTTTTATAGAATAAATTGTAAAGAAGTTTTACACTGCTTATGGCACATGTTTTTGACATCTGCATTGTCCACTCCATGCCATGAGAACTGATTAATCTACTCTGTTTTATCACTTCCCACTGTGTGAAGAAACCAGCACTTAAAAACTGGTCCATAACAAAAGCAAGCTGACGTTTCAGAAGTATTTGTCTAAAGGAGATTTTCTCTGGTTATCTGAAGACAAAAACCAGGGTTCTGTGCCCTTTCAGTGTTGCAGTTAGCACAGAAGTTATATTCTGTTGATGCATCATTACCTTCTGGTATTGTTTCAATATCCGTTAGTAAAATAAAGGCAGGATTACACTATTGCTGAAATAACCAGTAATAGGAGGGAACTAATGAGGTGGAAGCTGTTCACTTTAGTGTGAATCAAGTTGGGAAGTGTAGATAAACATGAGGAAAAACTTCTCACATGAGGAAAAACTTTGTTACTGTGAGGGTGACAGAGCACTGGACCAGGCTGCCCAGAGGGATTGTGGAGTCTCCTTCTCTTGAGGCATTCAAAACCCTCCTGGACACGTTCCTGTGTGACCTAGTCTAGGTGATCCTGCTTTGGCAGGGGGGTTGGACTGGATGAGCTTTCGAGGTCCCTTCCGACTCCTAAGATTCTGTGATTCTAAACTTCTTCACAGAAAAAAGATTCTTGGAGTTTCTACTTTTGTATAATCTTGACACATGTGCCTGAGGTTAGATAGATATGGAATCTCTCAGTTGTATTAATCTTCCTAAGTTTGGGAAGATCTTCCTTTTAAAGCCTGGGTGGTACATTTTAAGGAAGTTCATATCGCTGGCTGTTCAGTTGATTAGTGAATTTGTTTTTTTCCAGACCTGGCACCTCTCACCACCACAAATGTTCTCCTTGCCTTCAAAGTGGAAAGGCCAGTGTATCAATCAGTGTGTTGGTCTAAATGCTTTGAGTCACTTACAAAATTAGTTAGCTCAGTTTGGCCTTAGAACTTACATTGGAGCTGGGGGTTATAATTTCTTCTGACATGTTTTAGTGTATAAACAGTCTTTTTGTATTCACAGTTTCTCCAGATTTTAGCTACTTGCCTGAAAACAGCTTTATCAGAGCAGCCATTGACTTTGCCATTGAAAATGGAAAGAAAGGTAAGAAGGGATCAAAGTTCAGTATCCCTCTGAGAAATCTGTTATGACTATAAAAGGTGACCCTAATAACCCACTTTTGTTTGCTAAGAGAACTTTTCTAAAAACTAATTTTAACTTCGTTAATGTGGAATATTTAATCTCTAAACAAAAAAAATGAACAACACTTAAGATAAAGAATTCTGTAGTGATGGCTTTCATTTTCTCCATTGAATTTGTATGACTTTTTAAACCCTTTCCCCTTCCCTCTGTATCTGTGAGATGATGTATCTTCCCTGTGGGAATGAAACTCAAATCACTCTTAAGTGCTGGCATGTATCCTTAGGAATACACCATCATCAGGCAAACTTTATGCTGCCACTTGTTTCAGTGATCCTAAATTAAGATTTTCTGTAATGGAGTGGTATTCAAATGGGTTACTGCTATGCGTGATAAATGCAAAGGAACCTGAATAAATTATGCTTTTACATGATGAGTACAGTCTTAAGGGAGATTAAGAAGAGGAGGCTATTCCTGTGTGGAGCTGAGTGAGCTCACTGCTGTCCTGTGAAGCTGGCATTGCTTTCAGTGGAGGTAGAAACTGCCCATGCTAGCCTCCAGGAGGACTTTCACTGAGTTCAGTCCCTGTGTTTAACACAGTATGTAGCAAAAGTGAGCACCTGTCTGTCAGTTTTTGTGGCCTGCACCTACACAGTGGTGAAGGAGAGCAGTGTCAGAAAACTTTACTGTTCTCCTACTAACAAATGCAAAAATACTACCCTACTAGATGGGGAGTATATGTAACTAACTCATAAATTGGTTCAAGAAGAAGGAATCAGAAAGTTTTTATTTATTGGTAACAAAAGGCCTTTTTTGATATGTTAAAAGTACAACTGTTAATTACAAACAAGAGATAGCAAATTCTCAGTTATAAAAAGAAATAACTAACTTTACAATGTTTTTCAGTTCTTCACTACAGATTGGTCTTCAGTGCAGTGTTCACATTGTTTTCCTGAGCTGTTTAGCCAAATGTGTGTGTATAAAATTCAGATTTTGATTGAGTCTTCTGTTGTAGGCCCTGAATCTTTTGCACCTGGGCTGGTGAAAGTAGCACTGGCACCCATTGCATTTGTTGGAGAAAGCCATCAGTATCCACCTGTAAACTGGGCATCCATTCTTTCTCCTTTGATGAGGCAAAGCTTTGGTGAGATTAATAGTTTTCTATTAAGTCTTTTGTATTTGTCACAAGATTTCTTTTACAAACACAGCTTTCACAAACTTTAGAGCCCACTTCAGGGCTTGAAGTTATTGCAGGGATTGAAGTGTTGTCTATGCTTTCAAGACCAACTTTCTAATGTTTGCAGGCATATATTTGTGATCACCGTGTGGACACAGTTTGTTCTAATGCAAAGAAAGACTAGAGAAGATCAGAGCTAAGAAGTTTGGAGCAGTATTGGAAGCTCCCTAAAACACTGGTGAAATTGGACCAAATTTTTCATTTGAACTGTTTACAGTAAGAAGAGCCTATCATGAAAGTCAACTATAATTGTATCTTATTTTCAGTACCCACTAAATGCTGGTCCAGTGGCTGTGTTGGAGGATACAGGCACCTTTTTCATAAGCTTGAACTGCTCTGTAGTTCATCTAGCTATCACTAGTGTGAAATACTTTCTGCTAACTTACACTGGGTGACAGAGAAAACCATATGCCTTTTTCCATCGTGTTCTTGATTTTGTCTGCTTCTGAGAGCATCTCTTCTTCATGCTGGAGAGTAGCTTTGATCCTGAAGTGTTGTGTTGGACAGCCTGAATAATTTTTTTCTGCTCAAGATGTGTGTTAGTGCCTGTTTTGGTTCATATAAGTGTCTGAGTTTCAAACTCATTTCCTTAAAAAAACCCAACGAACTACTGTGCAAAGTTCTGTATTCCCTTGTGTGATTCCACTGAGTTTCACTTGACTTACTTAACTCTTTTTACATTTGCCTCGCAAATTCTTTTACAGCTGGATTGGGCAAGTGCTGTTGTGTTTGAATTGATGTGCTGTAGAGCCCAGAATATGGAGGGTTGTTCTTATTTCTTTCTAGACTTTATTTTACTTATACAGAGTCCTTGTATAAGCATTAGAAATCATTGAACCCGTCCTATGAGGAACAACTACTTGTTAGATACAGAAAGATTTGGCTACATGTTAAACATTTTTTGCTTATACTTGAGCTGCAGCTTCTTTTAGTATTCTTGCAATTGATAAAGTCTTTATCAAGAATAAGTGAAAGAATTTCCTATAATGAGCTCTGCAGTCCATGCTGATGCAAATTTGTGTGCAAACTTATGAATAGCTGAAACTTGTTAAATGTATGGGGGATTTTTTTATTCCTGTTTTTCACTTAGGAGTCTTACTTTTGTAAACCAGGGGAATTCCAGAGGAAACAGTACATCAGTTTTGTGGTGATGTTTTTATTGACTTTAGACATGCAGAAATAGGTCTTGCTGTGTGCTGATAAGCAATATTCATGTTGTGCTAGAAATTATAATGCAGAACGGTTGTATTATAACCTAGAATGTATTATAACCTTGTCCACCTAGAAATGTGGCACTCTAACACACTTTTTCTGGAACAGTTATATCATATTCATATCTGAGAATGCATGGCTGGTTTTATGAACCTTAAACGTTTCATAAATTCTACGGTGAAGATTTGTTCATTGATAAACACATTGAAGACAACAGCTTGCTTTCCCATCTTACAGGGTTTATTGCAGTTGTTGCTGAGCACAAACTATATAACATGACCTGTCCATTATTCAATAGTGCTCTGAGGTAAACAATCACAGGTGAATCATGTGTCTTAGCAGACCAAGCTAGTGAGAATTTTTGAATTGGTTACCAAAGTATCATTACAATTTCATCCTTTCCAAGTTCTGCAAATTACTTAACTTCTCATAAAAGGTATTTATTTCAAAATGTCTGATACTAGACTCTTAAATCTTTGCTTTGTTCATGCACTAATGTTAGTGAACTTTATAAAAATCATGCTATACAGATTTCCACTTTCATTACTGAAAGAACATTTTAACTTGCAAAGCATTTATTCAAGTTTTATGCTGACATTTAACTGTAATGTATCTTTTGTCTAATGGGTCAAATGTTAGTACAGTACTTAAATTGTTTGTCCTTGTGTTGCTGTAGCAATCATTAACTATATGGGAGCCATGCCATTGCTCAAAGTACCTCTTCAACATACTTATGACTAATTATTCTATTAAGAAACAAGCTGTACGAGTCATTACGGTGAATTTAAAAAGGATTCCATAACCATTATAACCTCTATACATAGTAAGGTCTTCCCACATGTTAACCTGTAGAGTTAATGCAACCAAGCATCCACAGCAGTAACAGTGACTAACCTCTGTTCTGTGACATGTTATATATGAACACAGAACCATTGGTTGAAAAAGACCTTTAAGATCATCAAGTCCAATCATAACACAGGGTACATGGAAGGGCAGAAACATGGGAACAAATGCTAATTGCTCCTGCATTTAGCAGAAAGGAATATTGACTCATTTCTCCTTTGTAGATTAAATCTCTTTATTTGGCAAGGAGACTTTTAATTCTTACTTTTCTTACCATTCCCATATTTTTATTCTTGAGTGAATTGAAGTGAACTTGGACAAATCCTGAGATTTCTTGCTGGAAGTGCATGAATGGGAAGAGGAGGCTTCTAACCATATGTGTGTTAAAAGCTTTAAGGCAGCATCTCTAGAAAAGCAAATTTTAATGTAGTGTGCCTAGTAGAAAAATAATCTCCTCTATTTTTGTGAGTTGAGAACAAGTTTAAAGTGAAAATAATTTCTTCATAACTCTGTTTTCTTCTGCTTTAGGTGATGAGGTAAAACATCTGTGCCTTCAACTGGCCATGACACAGGCCCAGTCATCTCAAAACGCAGCAATGCTTTTAGGGATGTGGGTGACGCCTCCTCTTGTCTACAGTCTCAGTGTATGTATGTCAGAAAATCTGTGGGGCCCAAGTACCTCTTTCCCATAAGAATCCTCAGTGATGATGCTTAGGATGTCTCTCCAGAAAAGGATTACTGGGTTCAGAATTCTGCAGAAATATTGTTTAGCAAATATTTAAAGTGAGAGAAAGGTTATTCTGGGGCCTTGAAAATCAAGGCAGACTTAAGATCTGCCATGTTGGTTATACTTAGATTGCTTGAAACCTTTTTCCTCTCTCTCATATCATACTGTAGCTCTGATAACCTAAAGATGTAAGAAGGCATGCCATTTAGGGAGAAAAAATAGCTTTTATTATACCAGCTGATAGTCTTAAAAAAGGTCCAACCTATCTGTCCAAAAGCTTGCCTGCTTCTTCCAGCAGTGCCTCTTGATCTAGAAAAACATGCTACTTCTTGAAAATGTTATCTTAATTCTGTAGATAGTCAATAGAGTAACCTGTAGTATAATAAATTTGGACTTATCCTCCACAGTAGTGCAGTTTTTCTTATGGAGGTACAACATGGACTCCATGATACCGTACGTGAAACTCCCTGAATCCCACAGAGCACTTGACAGTGCAGTTCTGTCAGTTTATACAATGAGAGGAACAGGTTCATGACAGTTCTCAGAAAATCTGTTCTGGATTTCTGTGATCTTTTCCAGTTTTTCAAGGGATATTTTTCTCTTGTAATTTTTAGTTCATTAGTCTTCACAGGTACACAAACACTTGGCAGCAGTTTTAAGGTACGTAAATGGTGAGATACCAAAAAAAGAAAGATTTTATTTCTAAGAACCAATTTCTCACTGCAGTGGATATTTAAGGTCACAAAATGAGCTCAGACACAGAGTGTGTAACCTTTGGATTCCTTCAAGATAAATATTCATTCTTCTTCACTAGCTAGCAATATTGGGGGATTGGACTAGATGATCTTTTGAGATCCCTTCCAGTCCCTAATGTTCTGTGATTCTGGGGTGGTGGTAGATGCATCATACTTCTGTCTTTGATTGTCTAGTCAGTCTGCATGATTTATGTAGGAATGCAGTGAGCGCAATATAGGGAAATCACAATGGTCCTGCCAGTACAGAGACATGGTATCTAGGGTTCATTGAAAGGAATTTTTAAGGAAAATATAATATCGACATGTTTGAACTATCTTTGATTCAAGTAATTTATGATTTTGAGTGTTTTTTAAGTGATGTTTGAGCCACTTTTTTGTAGTTTCATCCTTTATAACAGTAGCTGAAGGTCAGTATAGAGCTAGAATCTGAAACTAAGCAAAAGTTTTTTCTTTTCAGATAAAAACCCAGAAATACCTTTTTGTGTCCCTGCCTCTGTGGATGAAACATGTTGCAGAAGACAAACTACAGTTTTTTACAGAAGTGTTTCTGATACAACAGTTTGAATTGAAGAACCACACAAAAAAAACAGAAATTTGCCAGTGTGTTTTACAGGGGCTTATGCAAGCAATGAAACTTCCAAACTCTGCCCAGTACTGCTGGAGCTTTCTGTGCCAGGCTGTGGAGAAAGTATTTGAGCTTCTACCAAATGAGGTTCAGGTAAAGAATAAGTATAATGTGTATAAGCATTGTAACTGGGTATTTTTACTGATTATAAGTCCCACCTCTTTGCTCTAACATGTCAGTTTTTAAGCATGAAGTAGATGTAAAGTTTTTAGTAACAGTAGTTAAGGTGCCTGCATGATTTCAGTTTAAGTTACTTTCAGATATTCTTTAGAGTATGACTAAGTTGTGAAACCAGTTTAATGTACATTTTTCCCTCATAAATGATTTGGTAATGGAAAAATACAGTATTAGTACTGAAATAAATGTTGTTGAAACAGAAGCAGAGAAAAATCAGAAGTCTGAGGGTTTTTTATCCCTGCAGAGGATTCAGCTTCTCACAGTGACTTAAAGAAACTCTCGATCTACAGAAAGTATCTGAAAAGGAGGGCATTTTCCATTAAAAAATAGTACGAACTCTTTGAAAGTTTTTTTAGATACCATTATTCCTTAAAAATTAAGTACTCTGAAGTCTCCAGCAAATACAGAATTTCTAAAATAGAATAACTAAAAGAGACTAGATACTAGGTTAGATATTCGTCATAAGCATTAACAGAGTTCTTGGACTCACCAATTTTAATGATGAAGAAGCCTGGATGTATCCATCTAAACAGACATTTTTGTTTCTGTTTCCAGAGAGGGGAGCTGGAGATGTATGTTGATGTAGCAAAATGTATCTCAGAAATGGCTGATTCAGAGATTGATCACATTGTCCAGGTCTCTAAGGTAATGATGTTTTTACTCCTGGTCTTTTATCACCAAATCATGTGAAACAAGCACATCTTACCATTTTTCTTGTCACCAGAGTGGTTTAGGTCATTGGGAGCATTGATTGTTTTATCTGCCAGAGTGTCCTGGCTCTAATTTGCAGGCAGCAGAGAGGAACAAAAGTGGTAAGAGCCAATATCCAGAATTTTCTCAAGGCAACTGAAATACTCCTGATTTCACCTGGGAGCTGTGTACTGAGAGCAGAAGTAACTTGATCAGGCAGGGCTCTGTTAGCAGAACATGAATGGTGTTAGATCTTCTGTATCGCAGACCAATGATGCAAACAGCAGACCACAGTCCTCTTCGGTTAACATAACCACCTACTTGAAACAGACTGTAAATGCATCTTGGTGACTAGCTGTGCTTGAAGTGTTGGATCCTTGCTTCTGTTAAAAATCTGAAGTACTGAACAGCCTTTCATTCTTGACTTAATCTGCTGTATTTGCATTCACACTCAGAATGTTTCCTGGTGGACAAGATGGCTAAAGATGCCAGGGGAATAAAAGAGCCTTCAGCTTCTAGCTCACCAGTTGAATCCACTAGTAGGGGAATTCTTAGCAGCTTAAATGCTAAGGAAATTACCTGTGTGGGAGGACTTGATTTTTTTCGGATCAGGTTGTTATAAACAAACATCCATGACATAAAACCATATTGTTCTCTTTGCTGGCAGATTCACTAGAGAATCAAGCCTTTAAATAGGTTAGGGAGGCTGAACTGTCATTTCCTTATATCTTGGAGTTCTTATTTTCACACTGGAAAATGTCATTTAAGAAGAGCTTTTTTGTCACTTCAGTGAATCTGTCTTGCAAGAAGACTTGAGGCTCCAGAACTATCAAGCTGGCTTATTTCAATTTAAAGGGGAATGTAAAATTCAAAACTGTATGAAAACAGTGAAACTGTACTGAGTTGCACTTTGCTGGACTATTTAGAAGTCTGTAAAATTAAAGTAATATGTGCAGTCTTCTGTTTCATAATTTGTCTTGAAGAAAAATAAGTCTGATAGATAATCAAAGGATTGCTTCCCTTTTTTATAAAGACAAATGCAGCATCTACTGTTCCTACAAGAAGGGTATGTTTTAATTTAACATGTTTTTTAATTGCATTTGCAGAACAACATAGAGAAGGCCACATTTGTGAAAGTGTATTTAATTTCTCAAGGCAGACTGCCTCTGATGAGCTTCAGTTCTGTGATTGATACTGTGGCAGGACATCACCAGAAAGAAAATATTTTATGGATGCTCTTGCATAGTTTCTATCATGCTCGTATTGTAAGCCATGAAAACACAGGTAAGGTCAGGCTTAAAGAAGAATCAGCAATGAAATCATCAGATATTGATTGATCTACACTGATTCTTTTAAAACAGTGGTTTAACCCACGTGTTTCCAAATTTCTCCATATTAGAAACTACTCAATCTTCAGATTTTTTTCTGCTCTTCAAATACTTGTATGAAACGTTGCTTTTATGTTTTTCTCAAATTCTTTGTTTCCATGGTTCAACTATAACTCATTTATCTGAGCCAAGTGGTTTGCAGACCAGAGTTTTGACCAGATCTATGTCACTTTGTCGTTTTAGACTTTCAGTGTAAGGTACTGCTAGAAATGTACATAGTACATCACAGACCAGTAACACTGCAACTCTGCTAACCTTCAGAACTAATATCTGACTTAGTGTTTGGCACGGTAGGGGCATGTTCCCATGAAACTGGTTGAACCAAGGAGATAGTTTGCTTTTCTGAACTCCTTGCACACATTGCCCTTCTGCCTCTTTGTAACCATACCAGATAGTTATCTGGTGAGTTGAGCTGACTGAGCTAAGGGTCTGATAAAGCACTGTAGCTGATGCAAGAGAAGTAGCAGAATCACATAGGAAGATAAAGAGGAAGAAACAAGAATAGATGGAGGGAAGAATTAAGTCTCCTTGTTTTTGTGGCAGAAGGATCTTTGACTGCCAGTGATGACAGAACAACTTCAAAGCATTATATTGCTAGATGCTTTAGCTGCCAGCTGTGGTTGAAGAACTTCAAACAGTAGTTTAAGTTTTAAATGAGTGAAGTGAGGCTCCTCTGGGTAAAAGAGGAAGCAACGTGAAAGAGGGCACATGTTAAGAGTACAAGGAGATGTTAGTGCATGAAGTGACATGGTCTCAGAGGTGAAGATGGTTGTTAGTTCCTAGGCAGTAGAATGGATTTTGGACAGCAGAATCTGAATCAATGAAATGCATTCCATCCTTGGCTTGAGGGCTGATTTTATTTGCTTGCCTTAATGGTATTTTACTGATCCTCTCTACACTGTAAGAAGATTTTCACAGTACTTCCCACATTCTTACCCAATGTTCAGTGCTAGATTTAAATGAAATACTGGGGCAAAAACCTCAGGGAGGCTTCAGGATTCTGTAGGAGTCATGTGTGGAGACTGGGTTAGTGGGACCTGCAGGCTGCCATTATATGAAATAATTCTTGCTCAGCATTCCTTTTTCTGTGTGTTTTTGTACTGTTTAGGTGTCTGTATGCGTTCTGTCAGTGGCAACCATGAATCAAGTGTGATAGTGGTACTGATGATCATTGTTCTTCCACAGTTAGTGCTTTGTTGCTATAGTGATTTCCTGTGCTTGCTTTTTAATGAAAAACTGTATCCTAGCATTTTATGTGAGTCAAGGCTCTTGTTCTTCTAGGAGTGCTGAAAAGAATGGACTGGCTGCTAGACCTGATGGGCTACATCAGAAGTTTAGCATGCAATTCAACACCCTTACAAAATGTTGACCTTAAAGAGGTACATGCTATGAAAATAGCAGGAAAAAAAAGTTTATTATGTATTTCACATTCTTCCTCAGCAATAAGTATTATTCCCAATGCTTTTATATTTTAGAAGGTTGTTGTCCTACCTCCGTAGTTAAATTATTCCAAATTTTTGTGAGTGTGTGTTTAAAACTCTTACTTTAAAATTACCATGGCATTTAAGTTACAGTAGAAACTAAAGGCAACTAAAAGAAATCATTACTTCAAATTTACTGTATTTAGAACAATTAAAGGAAAAAATTAATTCACCAATAGAACTGTCTGAGCAGGTCGAAACTGTGCAGCTGCTGTTTCTAAGAGAGCTTGGACAGTTTTAGGGACTAATGTTGTTTGTTGTTACATCTGTTCAGCTGTTTAAGTCTCTGGTTGAGAACATAAAATAAGCTGCTGCTTAGATCAGAAAGGCATTCGTTACATTGATGCAATATTTCCCAACCATTTGGGGCACCACAAGGGTGACAATCTCTAATTTCCCTCAACAGTCAGCTTGCTGTATGGAAGTTTTTTCCCCATTTTAAATGAAATGTGGATCAGCCTTAGTCTAAAGGATGGTTTTTAGAAAAGTGATTTTGCTTTTCTTTCTGTAGACATTTTAATTTGATCTGGAGTTTAGAAAAAGGCTTATGCTGCTTCAAAGCGTAAGAGAATATTAAGAACTTTTTAATTCTTGCATTTTTAATGTTACCTGAATTTTCAGTTGATTGTTTTGAACATCAAGCCACCATCTGGATTTTTGGGTGGGGTTTTTTTTTGGGGGGAGGGAGAGGGGAGATTCTCCTTCAATATTATTCACTTAATAAAGTGCATGTTTGCCTTTTTCCTGTTTAGTGCATAGATTTCCTCCTGTGGCTGTTTGCAGCTTCTGTGGTGTCCTGGGCTGACCATGGTGCACCTTTATTGCTTGGCCTCAGTGCTAACTGGTCACTGTGGAAGAACCAAGCCACGTTACCAAAATTATCTGAGGGTCACATTGGCGAGCATCCCACTGACAAGTTTGCTGTGCAAGAGGTTCTCACACTCCTTCCAAGCAGCATTTCTCTTTTGTTGGCTAAGGACCCTTGGAAAGAACAAGCACAGAAGGTAAAATTGCTTGTAGTTGTAAGCATTTTCCAAGAGTCAGAAAGCACCCCATTTTCAGTAGTCAGCTCAGGTCTTAGGTAGAGCATTTATTTATTCTATATCTGTTGCATCTGACTTGTGATCTTGTCTTTATTTGCAATCAGATATGACTTGCCTCAAACGATCGAATGTGGTTTCTCAAGTGAAATGTGAGAGCTGCAAAGAACAAAAATATTCTAATGATTGGAATCAAACTCTTAAGAGGGTACAGCTGGGAGAGGAGAGCTGGCAGCTGCTGGTAGCAAATCGTCTTTTAAACACTGCAAGATAGATCCTCTGCAGTCAGAAATCACCACAGTGGCAATTTAGGGCAATCAGATACCTTCTGTGCAGTTTGTAGTGTGTCATTTCTTTTCAAGCATAAGTTGAAAATAAGTGTAGAAAACTGCCTAATTTGTCAAGCTTACTGCAGATTGCTATTGGTTGAGATATGTGGAAATATTATTTTAAACCTGCAGATTAATAGTTGGCTGTTTAGTGCAGACTAGAATCTGTTAAGGACTGGCTTCTGTACACTCATGTGCTCAGAATTACCACTGAACTCAGAATTCAGAATGTGGGAGGACTGCAGCAGTGGGCTGTTAATATGCAAGTGCCTAATTAAGCCGTAGGGAAGAATTCGAGACTGTGCCCTGAAAATCATCCTGGTAAGTGTGAAGTACCACATTGTCCTTCAGGCACCCTGCATTGCCAGAAAAACAAGGAAAAAAGAGGTCAAAAGAGGGGCAGAGACAGTAAGAGTTCTGAAGGGTTTGCAGTAAAACATTTGGACAAAAGACAAGTAAGAAAGGTTCATATTAATAGGTTAAAGGCATGAACAGGCAAGATGGAGAAGAACTATGTACTGTGCCTTCTGCACTATGAAAAAAATGTTGTTGAGACAGTGAGAAGGAACAAAGGTAGTTTCAGATCCAGCTGTGGGAGAAATTGCACAAGCAGTGAGATGTACTTTAAGGCATCTTGATAGTTTGGGCAGAACGTTAATTGGCCACTGCCTCTGATAAGGTAACTCTGAGTTTAGCAGCAGTTAGATGTTGCCTGTCAAACTGAAAAGAGTTGGTGGTGGTCCGATACAGATGCTCTTTTAATTCAGATTTTCCTTTATATTTCAATCTTTAGTTTATTGACTGGCTGATCGGTATGATGGAAAGTCCCAAGAAAGCACTATCAAAGTCTTCTGTAGACCTGCTGAAAGGTAGGATATTTTTAATTGGGTCCTTATTTCTTCATAACTATCAGTACAGACCAAAATCCAGTTGTTAAAAGGAGTGAGATGAATCTATACTATTAGCACATATAGGAAAGCTGTATTTTGTCTTTAACAAAACCTTCACAGGTAAGTAAACATTCCTGCCTGTAACACCTTTTCTTTTCTGTCTCATCTGCTGGTGGTTACAACATACCACTGGAGATCTGAGGAAACTGAAGATATATCTCATCCTGCAAGGGTATTTCAGTGATAGATCTGCCAGTTGTTTCTGAAAGTTACCCTTAAAAATAAAATACAACATACTACTTGGAAATGCTCCAGTACTAGAACAGAAATCACATAACATTTTATTCAAGTGCAACTGAACACTGAACTGTGGAGAAGGGAGAGGAGACAAGCAATGACAGCCTAATAGAGTGGTCTGCAAGAAAGGATAGAGTAATGGGGGTTGCTAAAAAGATGTATGAAAAGAAAGATGGGAATTATATGACATTATGAATTACAAAAATGGCCTGTGTCCCTAGCATGCACCCCATTGCTCACCTAGAGATGTAGGATTGTGAATACAATCTTTGCAAGTTATTAAGTGAACTGAGTGTGCATGTGATTTTTCATTTAACACAAAGCACCTTCTTTGAATCACCTGATTTGTTGGACCTAAGTACAGCTTCTTGAATTCCAGTTACAAGTTCTTTGCATTACTAGGATAATTAGCCTTGTTTTGAAGGTCTGCAATCTTTAGTCACTCTGATAAATTTCAGAATACCCCTGTTCTGTCTGCAAATCTCCATCGGAAACAGTGCTGAGGATTGTTGGAGAATATCCTCTGTACATCAGAGGATTCTGATATACACACTATATTCTCAGTATGCCCTGATTGAGATGAGTAATTGTTTCCCTTGAGCTTTCCATTCTTTTTGCTTTTAAGTACTAGAATGTGGCTGGATTTTGCCTAAACGCATAATCCTTTCAAATTAAATTGAGGAATCTGAGAATTGCTTTCTAATCAGTGAATAGCACAGAGGACATCAGACATTGTGCTTCTGTCCTTCCCAGTGCCTCCAGTCTCCCTCTTGCATCATTGCTCATTGAATTCAAACTTCCTGTGGTTTTGATCTATGAGCTGCTTCAAGTTGATGGTCAATTAGCAGATGATGTGATACAGTTTCAGTAGGAGACATGCCATAAAGTAGATGAGAGGACTAGTACAACATCACATTTCAGAAGGGTGTTGAAACTACTTGTATCTTGTGAACAGCGGAACTAGCATAGGAAATTAAAAAGTCATTAAAAGAGTCATTAAAAGGAGAACTGAATCTGGACCGCACAGGTTAATGTCATTTGTCCTTGTTTTCACAGTTACACTTCTCGCCTTGAGATCTCTTGCAGAGTTCAAGAAGAAAGCAGTGTGGACTAAAGCTTATGGGTGGTAGCTGCATGCCGTATCTTAGCAATGAGGAAAACTGTTTATAGTTGAAAGCATACTGTTACTACTCAGGCATCAGGAAGACCAATTTCAAAGAGGTTTCCTATCAGAAGGTTTTGGACTTTTTTTCATCCTTTTACCTCCTCCCAGAGACTCATAAGATGAAAAACAATATTTTGTTTTTAACAGATGGGATGTTGTTCTTTTACAAACTACCTAGCATGGTTTGAGCTGTGCTGAATCTAAATGAGAAATACACATTCAGTAGTTCTAATTAGGTTGTTTCAGTGATATCTGGGAGCCTCAAAAGCTGGAGTGGAATATTGCTTTAACTGACGGAAGCTTTGTAGGAATGGGTGAAAAAAAAACCTTGTAAAGTTTGTTTGGATGTAGCCTATTTACTAAAGTATGTTTTAGTGTAACAGACTTCTGAATAAACATCTTATTTTTAACTGATAACCCTTTTTCAATAATAACACAATGCTCTTTCACAGTAGTGACAACACACTGAAGGTATATAATGTGAACAGCATTTCTGAAAGGATTAGTATGCTTGTTGGTTTTGCAACAGCTTTACCAAGATTACTGAAATAGGTCAGTGATCCTAATGGCTGCTGTGTCCCCAGCTCCAAAATAGCTGCAGTTTTCTTTCCACTTGTAACTGTTCTTGTTTTAGAGATTCTTTTCTCTATCTCTATGCAAAAAGGGACAATACAGCAGCTCTTTTCCACCTTTGCCATCAGAATTATGGAATCATAGAATCATTTGGTTGGAAAAGACCTTTAATATCATGGAGTCCAACCATAACCTGTCCACTACAAAACCATGTCTCTAAGCACCTCAGCTATCTGTCTTTTAAACACCTCCAGGGATGCTCATAAACCCACTTCCTTGGGCAGCCTGTTCCAATGCCTGATAACCCTTTCAATGAAGGAATTTTTCCTAATCACAGAGTATTAGGAGTTGGAAGGGACCTCGAAAGATCATCATTGCCAGAGGAGGATCACCTAGACTAGGTCACACAGGAGTGCGTCCAGGAGGGTTTTGAACGTCTCTAGAGAAGGAGACTCCTCAACCTCTCTGGGCAGCCTGGTCCAGTGCTCTGTCACCCTCACAGTAACAAAGTTTTTCCTTATGTTCAGGTTGAACCTCCTATGCTCCAGCTTGCTCCCATTGCCCCTTGTCCTGTCATTGGACATCAGAGAGAAGAGCCTGGCTCCTTCCTCCTGACACTCGCCCTTTACAAATTTATAAACATTCATGAGGTCACCCCTCAGTCTCCTCTTCTCCAAGCTAAAGAGACCCAGCTCCCTCAGCTGCTCCTCATAACGGAGATGCTCCACCCCCTCAATCATCTTTGTGGCTCTGCGCTGGACTCTTTCAAGCTCTTGAACTGTTCAGCTCTTCAGACTCTTCAACTCTTTCTGTCCTTCTTGAACTGAGGGGCCCAGA